TTTATAACCAGCTACTTGGTATAATAATTTCTGAAAAAAAATCAAAAACAAAAATAGTACTCATGGTTATTATTATTATTCAATTAAAAGCTATATTTATATATATATATATATATATTCACATCTTTCCGATAACAAAAACTTTCTAAAGGAAAGAATAAAATAATTTCCAAAATGTATGCTAATTCTTCATCAAATCAATTTTTAAGCAAGTATAATGTATATAGAATCTATGAAAATATTCCATGCAACAGCTATCCATTTTGAAACTGGCCCTTTCAAACCGCATTAATTCTTGAATCTAATCACGTGGTCCTGCCACACTATTTAAGCACTCCTCCACCCCCTCCTCTCCCTCGCTCCAAACCAAGAACAATTCAATTCTCTACTCAACAAACATCAACATCATCATCTTTTTTTTTCTCTCTTTCAACTCTATATTGTGTTCGCCAATATTCAAAAAGAAACTTACTCTTTCACACTCTTTAGCCTAACTTAAACAACACCAAACAAAGAATTTCAAGTTTCTCCTGCATTTTTGGAATCCAGTCTTTTTTTCACAATGAAGAACTTGTTTCGCCTTGTTGATCAGGATCAAGATTTCTTTCAACGTAAATGGACTTTGGTCAATGGTCCGGTCATAGTTGGTGCCGGACCATCAGGGCTAGCCACAGCTGCTTGCCTTAGAGAACAAGGGGTGCCCTTTGTTGTCCTTGAAAGGGCTGAATGCATAGCATCTTTGTGGCAAAAACGCACCTATGACAGGCTAAAGCTTCACCTTCCCAAACAATTCTGCCAACTCCCTAAACTACCTTTCCCTGAGGATTTCCCTGAGTACCCAACAGGGAGACAGTTCATTGAATACCTTGAATCATATGCTAAGCATTTTGATATCAACCCAAAATTCAATGAGTGTGTGCAGTCAGCTAGATATGATGAGACCAGTGGTTTCTGGAGGGTCAAGACCGTTGTTACAAGTGGCTCAAAGAAGATTGAGTTTGAGTACATTTGCCGCTGGCTTGTGGTGGCCACAGGTGAAAATGCCGAGCGTGTGGTACCTGATATTGAAGGATTGGCTCATTTTGGTGGTGAAGTTATCCATTCTTCTGAGTACAAGTCTGGCGAAAAATTCCAGGGACAAAAAGTACTAGTTGTCGGCTGCGGCAATTCTGGCATGGAAGTTTCTCTTGATCTTTGCAACTATAATGCTTCACCCTCAATGGTGGTTCGCAGCTCGGTAAGTCATCAGCACATACCTTTATCAGATAATCTTTAAAGAGAAAAATAACCATGAGATTGAATTCTAATGGGCTTTTTGTTCTGTTTTTTTCAACAGGTTCATGTCTTGCCAAGAGAAATTTTTGGGAAATCAACATTTGAATTAGCTGTTTTGATGTTGAAATGGCTGCCCCTTTGGCTTGTTGACAAGCTTATGTTGATTTTAGCCTGGTTGGTGCTCGGAAACATTGAGAAATACGGACTGAAAAAACCATCAATGGGTCCATTGGAACTCAAAAACACTAAAGGAAAAACCCCTGTATTGGACATTGGTGCATCGGAAAAAATCAGATCAGGTGACATTAATGTTGTTCCTGGAATCAAGCGTTTCTCACGTGGACAAGTTGAGCTTGTTAATGGTGAAAAACTTGATATAGACTCGGTTGTTCTGGCTACCGGATACCGCAGCAATGTTCCCTCCTGGCTTGAGGTGAGTATATGTTCTAAACTCCTCTGTTCAGCTTTTGAACCTTTTGTTATTTGAAAAAAAAAAAAAAAAAGAAGAAGAGAAAATGATAGGGCTCTCTCTTCTACTGAAAAATGTCAGACTATGATTTGTCCTATTACCTTAAACCACAAACATTTATCATTTTTTAAAAGTTAAAAAACTGTTTTTAAGAACCTTCTACAGATTTTATTCTGAATTTTCTATCTTTGACAAATATAGAGTGTTTTGGGCAAATGAACTAATCTTGTTTTGGTACCATGATGAACAGGAAGGTGAATTCTTCTCCAAGAATGGATTCCCAAAAGCTCCCTTCCCACATGGTTGGAAAGGCAATGCTGGACTGTATGCAGTTGGGTTCACAAGGAGAGGGCTCTCTGGTGCTTCCTCAGATGCCATGAGGATTGCACAGGACATTGGCAATGTCTGGAAAGAGGAAACCAAGCAGCAGACAAAGAGAACTATAGCTTGCCATAGACGATGCATTTCACAGTTCTAAATTTCTCATCAGGAAAAAAAAAAAACCTCAAAAAAGAGTATTTCTGCAGCAGCTAGGAAATTGCCTTTGTTCTTTTATTTTTTTATGGTGTAAAAAATAAACTTACTGCAAATTACAAAAAAAAAAAAAAGGAAAAAGAAACAAAACAGGTAGCACAGGCCAACAGAGCCCTCTCCGAAGCCCCACGTTTTGATTTCTTTGGGCATTTTGTAAACTGAGGATGATGAGGCTTTCTTTGTTTCTTTTATTTTCTTTTATTTTCATACAGTGTTCGTACTTTGTACCATAATTCAGTAATCAAGTCAAACGATACAGTTTCCTTTCTGTATTGGTCATTGCTCTGTCTCTTTTTGTTGATTTTGGTTTCAAGATTTTATTCATAGTGCTAACTAATTTACACTAAGTTCCAATCCACGAAGATGCATGTCTTTGACATAGCAAAAGCCTCAATCTCAATCAGTAAAAGGTGATAGTGACACATGAATCATTGAATCTGCTATACATGAATCATTGAATCTGCTCCCTCTACACAGTTCAGGAAAGACCTCCATTTTTACCAATGATTCTTTGGTCTATTTTTCCCTACCACTCTCTTTTTTTGAGGATAGCCAAACTCCAAGATGGGCTACGCATAACTATTCCCTTAAATATTAGTATTATCTTTTTTTCATTTGCAATCCAAGGCATATCAAAGCTCTCATGGCAAAATTACAGTTAGATATTTCTATAAAGCATAGAATCGAGAAATGAGAACTAGTTCATGAGTTTTTGTCACAATGAGCTGCTCCAATGTATTAACTTAAGCGTAAGGATACTACATATCATGGACTTATGGTTGGAACTTACGAGTACAAAAATGAAATAAACTGATGGCGTCGGCGGACTCAAGCCGAAGAGTTTCATTGTATTAGACTGACATGATAACCAACTACAACCACGACACCAAGCTGGTCTGCAATGAGAAATTTTTATAAATTGCAACGAAAATGTGATAAGAAAAGAATAGATGAGACGTTTAGATGAAGGATATGGAGGTGTGAATGTCCCTAACATGCAATGGTACATAATCAATGCCTTGTAGGATAGAAACAAAATGGAATTTTAGAAGCTAGGAATATGTTTCCCAACGGTTTGCCTTGTATTATTCGCCTTACCATTGTTTCACTAATTGGAGCAGAGTAAGAGGAAAATGAAAAGCTAGAATGTAGAGATGCATGGAAGAACCGATGAGACCAAATTTCACACATTCTCGACCAAAATTAGCTAGGGATTTGCCTATTTGGATGGAAGAACCGCTATCCGAAAACAGTTACAAGAATTGAGTTTGCTAATTTGAAGGGAAGAACTGATATCCGATAAGATTTTCATGTCAACACGACGACATCCATGGAATATGGAAGGCTAATATAAACATTGAAGAGGATCTGCAATTCTGTCTGATAAGAGCACCTGCTTTTCCATTCATATAACCTTAGTACTCCCACAATCTAAATCTAAACTTTTGAAGTTTATTTAATCTCATCTACAAATGCCTTGGGCTCCATTTGATGAGTAGTGGATTAGTTTCATGAAATTGAAAATAACAATAAAAATAAGATTAATTACTGTAATAATAAAATTAAAATTAATAATGTATTTAGATTAAACGAGGCAATAGCAATGAAGTAAATTGCAATGAAAAAAAATTACTAAGGCCAATAAATTAAATTGTAGGTAATAATAAAGTTTTAAATTATTTAACATTTATAAAACTAATAATAATTATAAATTGTTAAATATTTTTATATCAAATAATAATTAAAAATGAATAAAAATAATAATACATAAAATAACATTTTTATTATATTAAATTAACAAAAATATCTTACTATTTTTAACTATAATTAAAATAAAAAAATTTATTATGAAAAAATATTTTTATAATTATACTATTATATAAAGGGTAAAATTGAAAAAAAAAAATCAGTAAACCACTAGAACAAAATTCATCGGTGGCTAAAAGCCACTAATTGTGTTGCACCTAAGACATCTAAAGATGTCCGGTGTAGCAAAATGTTTCATAACAACTGACCTCTCACTGCAGATTCAATTATTTCAAATGAGTTCTTACTCTCATTGCAATCTGCTTTTTTTTTTTTTTTAAAATTTGATTGGATTGGATCAAAAACCATACATGCCTTATCAACATATTTATTGGTCTTTAGGCCAATAAATTTGGGTCAAAATTTAATTGATTGTTAAATAAAATAATTAACTGAATAAATTAAAAATTAAATAATAAAACAATTTTATTGAATCTATTAAAATGAGAATTTTAGAAAAACTCGTGATTGACAAATTTGTTTAGTGAAAATAAATCATGGGCTATTAGCAAAAGTATTTGAGAGTTTTAAAATTATTTTCACAAAGTGATTAATTTTTAATAATTATTATAAAGACATACAATGAAACAAATTTACAAAATTTCTTCTATTAATTAAGAAAATTTTTAGTTTTTTAGATACATAAAAATATTAAATAATAATAGCAAAAAGTAGAAAGTAATAATTTTTTATTAATTAAAAAAATCGATAATGAATTTTATTATAGATTTCACTTACATATACTAACTAAATATAAAATAATAAAAAAAAGAAATTAATATCTTCTAGATTTTACCAAAAATAATAATTAAAAAAAGAATATTTGTTTAAAATGGAAAACGTAAAAAGAGTAAATTACTTCTAACTAGGAGGGTAAAGAGAATATTAAAAAAAGGGTAAAGGGCGCATGTGAGGTGGGTTGGGTAAGATATAATAGAGGCCGAGGGTAGTGCGTAGACCAAATCTGAAAGGGAGAAAAACGCCGAGCAGACAGAGGTAGAGTCAGTAGAGAGACGCAAGGAGAAGAGGATGGGAAAGAGGCTTGGACCAACAGGGGAATTCTTCAAGAGGAGGGACGAGTGGAGGAAGCATCCGATGCTTAGCAATCAACTGCGACACGCCGCTCCAGGGCTGGGCATCGCCCTCGTGGCCTTTGGCATTTACTTGGTTGGAGAGCAGGTCTACAACAAGATTTATGCTCCTTCACCCTCTCATCATCAACAACAACAACACTCTCTATCTCAATCTCATTGAGATCAGGTCTTTCCCTATTCCCTTTCCATCTTTTCTGCTGCTTCCTTTTTCACTCTCCTTCTTTGTACTCTAAAATATATATTAAAAAATAGACATTCTACTGCTTCTTCTGAGTTTTTGTATTTATTTTTATTACTATTAATTTCTTCCTCTCCAATCCATTCGAAATGGGAATGATCAAATGTTTAGGGTTTCCCACATAGATCGGTGTTGTGATTAAATTTTGTCAAATAATCCTTTTCTTCATCCTGTTAAATTAATGCTGCTGTAAATTGAAATATGAAGCTCTTAAAATTTTAGGGCCTTAGGGTATTGCAATTGTGTAAAACTGATTTCATGGTTTGCAAACAATATCTTGCCAACCCTGCAAAGGTATTTTTTGTTTGTGTAACCATTAACTTAGACAATGACTTAGATGCTTCAATTTCAGATCTAGATTGGCTCTGGGGTCAATTAGGGAATTGCGGGCTGCAACAGGTTGTTTGTTGCAATCTATTACTTCTCCTACATTTTATCATTTGTAAAGCGTTAATGTTGCATTATTCATTCACATGTGCAGGCGCACGCATGCTAAATAGTTGTCTGAAATGTTGATTGCCATTGAAGGTTATGATACTAGGCTTGTTCTTAAAATGATTTTTATGGCAACTTATCATGAATATCAAATCTAGGAAATCATATTGCCCTAAAAGTCAATGATACTCGGGAATTAACATGCGAATTAAAGTTAATGATACCGAATCAAGGGAATTAAATGTATTATTATTTTCCGAAAGCCCATTGTAATGAAACAAATAGAGCCTAATAACCATGGTAATTTTACATACAAAGGCTTGGCTTACCTTTGGTTGTGGCGTTTATTCTTCCAAAGCACATCTAATAAGTTATATGGTAGTACAATTTGTTTATATTTTTTGTACCATGGTAGGCCTTGAGCTTCTATTAGGGCTCTTGATAGTTCTGGTGTTTTAGACAAAAGATTATCATAAATGCTCTATTGTCTTGAACTTTGCTGATCATACTTGGACTCCACAAATTGACTTTTAATTGGACAATCAATCTTGCAGGTAGATGCTCAGTGGAAGAAGAAAGTTCGGACATCCTTATGTTTCAATTTCCCTCCTGTAGTTTGCTGTAATAAGCTCCTTACTGACATAAAATGGACTTGCTTTAAGTTTGAATATTGAACATGTAGGGGAGCTATTCTATAGATGATTTATCTGTTTCCTTGTTGTGTTGGTAAGTTAAAATGTGGTCAGCTTAATGTCATAAAGGTGTTGGTTAAAAAGATTTTCCATCTTTCTCTTGAAGTTATTCACCCTATCTTTTGAATAGAAATATCTCTTTCTAGAAGGTAGACTTCATGTTGTTGCGGATGCAAGAAACATCTGTCTTTCCTGGGTAAGAAACCAGCAATTTTTCATGATCAGGAAGGTTGTCTTTTTTTTATCCTAGAATGAACCTTGAACTTCTGAACCTATTCATTTAAGCGATGGATGGTCTTGGACTCTCAGCATCTAGTGTTTTTAAATCTTAACCCCAAAAAAGCAGCCATCCACTTCATGGTTGTTGATAGGAGTGTAAATGATGCATTAGTACTCACAAGTTACTTGAGTTCAATTCGAATAAAATTCGAATTTGATTCTATTATTATCGAGTCGAACTCGAACTCGAGTAGTTCGACTCATCGATCGAGTCAAATTCGAGTATTTTTATATCCAACTCAAATAACTCTCGAGTCTAATTGAGTTTTTATATTTAAATATATTTTTATTATTTTAATTAATAAAATATATCGAGTTCGAGCACAAATAATCGAATTTTTGTCGAGTACACGAGTCAAGTTTATTTTTATATATTAATTTAGCTTGAACTAAGAAAATGAAACTTGAGCTTGAGCTAAGAAAATGAAATTCAATCGAATTTGAGTGGAGAATCGAGCCGCGAGTTAAGAGTTGAGTTTGAGCTCAAATTCAGGTTTTTTACTGTATCGGTTCGATTACATTTTTAGCTGTTGAGCATTGAAATCATATGGACTAGGCCAAGACCCCGTAACCTTTTACTTCTTCCATTTTCAGTTGAATATTTATATGTTTTGCCATGGCAAGTTCACCTATTTAAATACTTTATCTTCACTCCGGTCCAAGTTTTAGCTAGGAAATTTCTCCTTTAATCTTTAGTTTAACACCGGACTTTTATTGGCTACATGAGGTTCTCTGCTTTTTTTGACAAATGGCAAGTTTTATGTTTCCATGCTATTTTCCTATGTATTATCACTCTACTTTTTTCCTTTATACACCTTTCAGTTTCCAGTATGAAAGGGAATTAAATTTTGTTATGTTATATGAGCCTCAGCCAGCCAGTTGTGAAAGGTTTACGAAACGAGGCTTTTAAATTTTCCGCTGCTTTGGTTGACGTTCCTGCAAAATGCGCTAGAGCCAAGAAGTAGACATGTTAATTATGTAAATCGGCATAGGCTAGTTTTGGTCCTGATCGAAATGGAGGTCCAAATATTGCGCCTGGGCTTTCTAAAATCAAGACCCAAAAGGACAATGGGCAACTCACAACTGGTACGCGTGGCAATCTCGTGATCGCATTTCTCCAGGAAGCGCCGATGCTAGCTGTAACAAACGAAGTAACGAACCAAACCAACGGAACTCTGCAAGTTCCACAAGCTGTCCAGCCATGGCTTCCATGGCACAATTTTGTTACATTCTTGAACCCTCAAACCTTAGACACAAGTAAACTAGTTTCAGATTTTGCTTCCAAAATCCTAATTATAGAAAGAATGCACTCTCTTCTATCAATATAACATCTCATGCAAAGCCATCGTCAGTCTTTTCTGCCATCGTTTGTTCTGTTGCGAATAAGCCCTCTTCCTCCTCAGAAGTTAGGTACTTATTCCCTCTCTCATTAATTGTTATATTAACTTCTTACTCCTGATTCTATGCTCATATTTATGAGTTTTGGAGAGTCTTTTCAACACCCATTGAGAACATTTGGATTGACCATTGCAATGGATTGAAGACACGGGTTCTTAATATTACTTTGTCATCATTGTTTATAGTCGGCGGTGTATTCCCATTGATGCACACTTTTAGTTTCAGACTTCAATAGGAGTTTAGAATTTTTGGTGCTTAAGGTAGTTACTGAAAATAAGAGGGCAAGAAGGAAAAAGAAACAGGATAAGGAACAAGGGAGTGGCGAGGATCATTAGGGTAGAGCTGATTATATCCTTTTGAGAATTGATGTCTGACAAGATGTGATGATAGCTTTCGGTTTACACATTTCTACATAAAATGAGTTGGTGAGTCCTATTTAAATGCTTGCTTCAACTACGTAAGTATCATTATTCATCATGAGATGCTGCATCTTCATCCAAAAAAAAATTTTTTTTTGTTATACAAAAGATTCAATTGGACTACTAACTGTCATTTGTTTAAACTTTAAATAAGGTGATTGGATGAGCAAAAGAAATTGGCTGGTGTGTCCCCTGAATCTCCTGTGTAAGAGTTCCTTCATCTTACTCACCATCTTCTTCTCATTCAAAGATTCTATAATACAAGTATACATATGCCTTCTTAGACCTTGCAAATGGAATCCTTTTTTATTCTGACCTTATTTTAATGAAATCTTAGAATCATTAGACACACGTTTCTAGAAATCTTGGACAATGAGCAACTATAAACTCAACTAAGAATGCAGAACAAATGCTTAAAAAATTCTCTGCATTGTCTCGACAATTGTTAAGAAATCCTTATGTTGGTAAAATATACCTTTATGTGTTCATTATGTAGTTATTTATCTCTGCGCTTGGATGGTTGTGTGCGTGGAAATGGCATTGGCCTCCTTGGAATGCTATTGTTGCTCAGTTGCCACCCGTAAAGGGATTAAGGTCAGGTCTTCTTGATGGAATGGATGGAAGAGTTCTTTGAAGGAAGGTCAGTTTACCTTCTATATGTTTCAAGTTTATAGGTTTTCTCCATTTACTTTCACTTAGCTTGCTTATTATGACAGTTGCAATCTATGTTAATTATTCTTTAATTAACATATATAGGTGCTGTTTCTATTTCTTTTCTTCCCTTCTTTTTTCACTTTTGGTTTTTTGATATTTTACCACTTTTGGTGTTTTTATATTTTACCACATACCAGAGTCTAGTTTCTTGCTGAGAAACAAAGTTTTGGTTTGACAAAAAGTGAGATGATGAAGCAAAGATAAGGTGATATGAAAAAGGATATTATGAATTTTTCTTTCCAGAACAATGAATATTGTGTAGTGGAATCTGAATGTTATCATTTTCGCCTCCTCTAATTACTATAAGTTTAGTTCTAATGACACTGGTCCACTGCTAGGAATGATTTGCTTCTCCAAAAAACCGTACGGAATGGAAGATTGGTAAATTTGATTGTGGAATTGTGATGGTTATCTGAAAATGCAGTATGAAGCCAATGAGAAGCTTTCTAATCTTATATCTCTTTTTATGTCACCAGAAATGATAAAAAAAAATTAAAAAATTTTTGCGTCATGGTGAAAATCAAATTCCACAACATGGTGTTTGCAAGAGAATCAAGAAAACTTATTAATGTGAGTTCTTATGCTTTTATCTTATATGTTCTTGTTCATGTAGTAACTGTAGTCTTTGGAATGTAGGAATGATGGCAATTTAAGCTAAACGTGAACAGTCAACTAGCATTAGTTTGTTTAACAATTTTGGCTCCTCTATTCTGCTAGCAGATTTCTTTTTCTTCTTTCTAGTTCTTTTACTGCAGATCTTGCAGCGTCCTGCCCCTCCTGTTATATTATAGTTGTTAGTTAGACACAGACTTATTCGGTTTCTATGCCAACGCAATATCATGCATCTATAATTCTGTTTTTTTTAATCCTTTTATCTATGATACCTCAATTGAGTAATCACATTTTTCAGGTTTTGTACGCAATCAGAATGAGAAACCTAGAGGAACAGAGTTATACTGCATATGGGGGCAGCTTATTGAGCCGTTGTAGTAACATCATTTTATGCCAGGAATCTTTTGCTATGTGCACAAAGATAATTTCATTCATACATGAAAGCAGAAGGTTTTTGTCTCAAATCCCGCCATTCTTGAAAGACAGTTGTGTCATTTGGAGGGGGCTCAGCTCTTCAGATTCTAAACGATTCCGATTCCGACAGGTGCTTCCAGTCACATAATTTATCGTATCTCCGGATGAACTTTGGGTCGGAACCAGAAATATTGCAACATTCTTTCGCATTAAAGGTTTACATACACTAAAAATGAACCTGCCAGGTGCTCTATTCTTGCATTTGTACCAAGATAATTCAAATTGCAACCGAAACAGTGATTATGTTCGAGGACCAAAGGTACTTTGGAAGATACGACAGTCAGTTTTCAGAGGGCATGGAAGTCCCTCGAAGGATGTGACAGTTAAACAACGTTTTCCAGATGATCACCATTTTATCGCTGATGATTGAAACACAGGTAAGGAAAAGAAGACAAGAAATCAGAGAGAAGATTATAGGATTCACGTTGATTTTGGCACAAACAAGCTTAAGCAAGAGATGGGAAGAAAACCAAAATTACAAATGCTACAATGACTCATTTAACTTCTTCAATCTCATCCAATGCGTAGTTGTTCGTAGATACATTGGCGTAATTAACTTTGTTGAACCGAACCACAACTGGATAACGGGTCTTGGGTTCCTGCACAAAACGAACATAAAATTGAAAAAAAAATTAGATCGTTTCATGAAAGAAACATGCACATGCTAGAGGGAGAGAGAAAAAAGAGAGAGAAGGTGACCTGGTCAACTGCAACAACTGATCCATAGCTGTTGTACCAGTAGGACTCCCTCCTAAGAATCTTGACCTATGAGGTGAAAAGCAATTTAAAGTTATTTCAAACATCTAATAATTCTAAGGCTCCTTCTTTGGCCAAAAAATGTAACTCAACAAAAGGCAGATTTCCTCTGTAATGATCAAGCTTAGCATGGATGGTTATATATTCAGCTATCAGACAGACAAGATTTGGGGTTATGAGTATTGATAACTGTATGTCTTTAGCTAACCTTGGTGCCTCTTTTTGGTCCAATTGGTGCCGGTTTAGGCTTAGGGGCTTCACTTCCTTCTGGTGGTGCAGTGGTGATAGTTGGAGCTGGTGCTGCAGCCTCCTCAGCTGCCCTCACAACAAGCCTTGAACTGTTGTTGTTGTTGTTTGAAGGGAAAAACACCATGCTACTCTTGGAAACTGAACTTGCGTTCCCTATGACATTGGGTGTCAGCAAGAACCCTGAAGCTGCTGATGCCATGCTGCAGCTAGCCATGTCTTCACTCTCTGATCTTTTTGTCTCTGAAACAGATGGAAAGGTGGAACTGTGCCAGATTTGTCGAGGAAAAGAAAGAAGAAAGATTGAGAGGCCTTGAACGCATTGAATTTTCTGTTTTTTTCTTTCTTTTTTTTTTTTTTGGCTCAGAGAATTATCTGATCATAAGAAGGTGGACTCAACCGTTTCCTCCACTAAGGAGCTGCCACCTATGCACTATGTTCCATTGTTTGGATAATGTGATTACAAGACATCCTTTCAGAACTCCAGTCCCTACCCGCCTTTTTTCCCCTAATCTGGTTTAGAAGAAAAAACAAATCCAACAAAAAAAAAAGAAATAAAACTTCATTTATTTTCTTATTACTTGTTTGTTACACTATTAAAAATTATTGCATAAAATTAAAAATATAATAATTAAAATCATAGTTAATTAAAATAACTTTTTAATATAACTATTTTATACAAAATAACATAAATTTATTTAATATTATAATTTTCAAAAAATTAATTATTTTTATGTACAAATGTGTTACCCCTAGTTTGTTTTAAAAAAAAATAGTTGCAAAAATAATTATCAAAAATAAATAATTTCCTAATTTCAAAAAAAAATTCTTGATTTACAAATTTGGACAAGAAAACCGACAAGCCGAGTGCATCCTCTTTTCACGTGCCATTCGGCTCTTATACTTTTTCAGTTTCTAATTTCTCTTCTAAAAGTCAAAACAGTCAACAACGGCCATATTCCTGACTAGTTTCAGTTAACCAAAGCTAGGGTTTTTTATTTTAAAACATCCCCAAAATCAAATAACAAATGAAAGAACAGAGATTGAAATGAAGAGAAGATATCACGATATTAATCCCAAAGATCGTTCACTAATTCCAACTTCATTCCCTGCAGAGCTATTCCCATGGTTCGGAGCCCAGTACCCGACCCGATTTTCAATCAAATCGAGGTTTTCTCCTCCCAATAATTCATTTGTAGCGAAAATTGTGTTTAATTTGAACTTCTCTGGCTGTACACAATGCTATCATCCAAATTCGAGCTTACCTTGATTAATTCTTTTTTAACTTTTGTTTGTCTAGACAGAAAGCATTTTCCTAGAAATAATTTCCTTTTAAAAGCCTAATTGAAAAGAATTTAATTAGATTACCTAATCGTTTCCCTTTTACTACGACCTTTTCTGTTAAGCGTTTAAAGAATTTTGTTATATTATGGCTCAATTTTGATGGATTATCATATTCATGGATTTGCAGCTGATGGCCCTAAAACCTCTGAGTTTGCGTTTTTCAAGAAACTGAAAAAAGATGCCAGCCAAAGTTTTGGCTCTTATTCGATGCATAGGCAGAAAAACCAATCAAACAAGTTGAATTTCAGGGAATTTAGTAGAGTAGTAGGTAGGTTTAAGTCAGATATTGCCCTCACTTTATCAGAAATTGACTGATATCACCTTCTTTTTCTTCAGTGCATTCAATTCTCAGTTTTCTTTCTCATCATTACAGTTATGATATTCCCTTCTTTACTGTACAGAGGGGACCAAATTAATTAGGAACATCTCTAAGTCCTAGAGGGGACCAACATTACTAGAAATTGTTCTAAGGACTTTAGGTCCCCGCCATCTGCTGACAGATCACTGTTAACAATGTTAGCTCTAAGGACTCAAGATCATCGTTGCCCATTAACAATGTGATACATTTCAACTTTGATTCATTCCTCTCACCAGTTGACAGAGCTGCAAATAACTCGGGTATGCAATGTACAGCGAATTCTTAATTTATTGTTTGTATCAATCCTTTGCTTCATTGATTGCTATCTTTATCTTTTAACCATTGCTATGTAGGTGTGCTTCAATAGATATCATTTGACTAATCATTTGCACCTAGTGATGTCTGAGTTTGGTGGGTTTTCAGTTTTAATTTATTGATGCAACTATTACTCTCAGCCGACTCCAAAGTTATGGGATGTAAGGTTTAATTTTTTGTTGTTGTTGTTGATGTAACTATTACTCTATACCATGCCTGTTTGTGTTCATAATGTTTTTATGAATCTTCATTACCTTTTTTGTATTGTCCTAATATAAAGTAAAAAAAATATAAAACAACACTATTATCCCTGCAAAGGTGCCAACTTTTGTGGCCATAGTCAGACCCCACTGAAGCTCTTTTGTTAAATTTCTCATCAACAGTCTCCACAGAATCCAAAGTTATGAAGTTAATCTTGCAAGTAACCAGTGTTCCTGCTTTTGTTAACAGAGATCAATTTAAAGAATTCCTTTTCAGCCTTTGAGTCTATATTCAGCATAGAAGATTGGTTAGAGCATGATAGGGACAACAAGAAACCAGGTGGTAGAAATCCTAGTCCCAATCTTCTTTGTCCTCTATTAAAAGCAAAGGAGGTAAAGAGCGGGAAAAGGATCTAGGGAAATGCCGCATATGTTTTTGTAGTTCTGCTTCTTTTCTAGCAACCAAAATTGTCCTTTTTCCATTGCATCTAGGCAAACTGGCTGAGTTCTTGTTTTCAACTTGGAATTTCAAACTGTATTAACAAATACATTAAACCATCATATGCTGTTTGAAACAAGATTAGTAATTGACTATAATTGAGAATTACAAGCCATTTCCTGAAATAATATCAGATAATTTCAACTTTCAGGGTCTCAGTCGGATCAAGAAGAATTATTTTCTAGAAAGAGACAGAAACTGAGCCAATGGGCTCATAACTCTTTTCCTGAGATAAAGGAACTCCGTTCAATGGGGTTAGACTTGTCATTATTAAAAGTTAATTTCGTTTTTTCACAATTCATATCATGCACTGAGTAGATGTTCTCTCAGGTATGATCTTATTTCAATGCTCCTTAGTCAGCTTTTACCTTGGAGCAATGAGAAAAAGGTATGCTCTTTCAACTTTCTGTATGATATGACTTCTTTTCTTAACTTGATTACATAGAAAAAATATTGGCTCTTTCAGAGTTGCAGTGCACCTGTGGAGAGCAATACCAAAACTGAGTTACTTGCCTGCCCTATGTTTGATATTCCTTCCAAGAAACTTTATTGGTTGCCAAAAAGGAACATCGTGGAAGTTGATATTTGCAGTACTTGGAAAATGGTACATCATCTTATAGGTCAGACAGATCTGAGTGGGACCATGCTCTCTAATAACTGCTCGCCAACCAATAGAAATCGTAGAATCCCATCAAAAGAATTTAAAGTCACCTAGCTGTGAACTAAGAGAGAAAAATCGGTTCCCCTGTGTCGAAGGTGAGTCCATTTTTGGCTTTCCATTTTTGAGACACGGATCTTTTCCACCATTTAGTTCTTTAAAAAAGTCAGATTATTTTCATGATCCAAATGGATCTTTGCCTGGAAGAGAGCCACATTCTCTACTCCTTGAATGGGTTCTGTAAACATGAATGAAAGGAGCTTATCAGCTACTTGTCACAATTCAAATTGGACAATAGTTCCTGCAGCACGAAGTTCATGGGATCATCAGCAAAATCTAAATAATTGGTGTGAGTCATTTGGTATGCTTGGGTTGTGTTCATCAACTGTACTTGGAAATCACCCCCAAGATTTTTATTCATTAGTGCCTCCCAATAGTACCACATATGACAAAGATGAGCTCGGAAGATCTATTTTAGAAGAAAAGGTAGACACAGTTGCAAATTTGAATCATCTTCCTTTGACGTTATCACATTCATCAAAGTGCCTTAGTCTAATTGCAGATTGCAGTCATTATGAAATAGCATGTAAAGGTAGTGAGACTAGTGACATCCTCCTTTCTCCGGGAAATCACCCTGGCTTCATGAGCAAGGGTTTAGGTGAGGAGAACAGAACTCCTGGTTTTGGAACTCACGTTTCATTTGTTCTTGGTGTAGAACGGAAATGCTTACAATCAAGTGGTTTAAGGAGAGAGCGATGCTCATCTACTTATAATGATCTTCAATTTCCTCAAAAGGGAACCATATGCTCAAACTTTCCTAGTAAAGATGAATTTGAGAGTTCCTCAGCTGGTTTGAGTTATAGAAGCCTTATGACCAGTGAAGATATGCTAGACATCCATGACTGGCAACCTTTCTATTGTCAAGTATCTTGGGACAAAGATAAGGCACATCCCTTGTTGCCTCATAAATCAAGTTGGGAGGATTGCACAGAAGAAACATATGATTGTGATAGTCAAGTCAAATGCCTTTGATGCTTTCTTTGCATTTCCTTGGGGTTCGTGGGGTTGAAGCCTAAGCAATGCTGTTATCTTTTGCTCTTCAGCCAACAAGTATGGTAGCTAAATTTGTCAATCGAATTGTAAATGAATTAAAGTTTTAGGTGGATAGAGTTCCTTTATGTATTTTGGTGATCTTAAATAGTTTGTACTGACTATGAAAATCGTAGGATATATTGAAGGTAGTTGCACTTTTTTTTTTAATCTTATATTCAGTATTGTCATTCTGACTATGAGAATCATGAAGAATTTTCACTTGTGAAAAAGTTTCTGGTAATTTACATGTCCCCAAGAGTCAATGCCATGGTTAAAACTGCCTCCAACGACATGGCCATATTCATATCTGTTACAGAAGGTGCAGGTCAGAGACAATCAGACAACACGAGAAACTCATAGTTTTGCAGCTTAATTCTGACACTTTCTGTCGAGTGCCTAAGAGCATGCAGAAGGGAACCATGAGCAAGCAAATACTCAAAACTTGATCTGAGACTGAGATAGTGCATCCCCAGGGCTTATTAATGACAGTTTGAACTTATCCCAAGCGATAGGTTTCGAGGTAAGGATCGATGCATCATGTTAGGTAGAATTCTAGGTTTGATTTTTTGGATGAATACAGTCTGGGGTTTAATGAATGGTCAAATGCATTGTTAGATCAGTAATATCATCCACAGCAGAAAGATTAACAAGAAAAGAAACTGTTTTTGTTGCTAGGTGGTATATTCCATTAGTTGGAATAAAGTCAAGCCATTTGCATTCAAGTACTAATTTGGCGAAATGAGCATTCACCCCCACATCACAAAACACACAGGTTCTGATTTCTGAATCTCCTCAGCTCTGATTTAGCATCAGCATATTAATGAAAAAAATGTACAAACTAAATTCGCCCTAACAAATCTGCAGAATCCACGTCTTTACTTTTCTGTCCTCTTTTTGTCTGTGGGAAAACTTTAAATACATCACTTTCCACTCACATGTTACGCAAAAAATTTTTTCTATTTACTTATAAATTTATGGTTCACTTTCATTATTAAAATGGATTAGTAATGTTAAAAATTAACCATATTTTAATAAAATTATAAAATTATTTTATTTTCATTGTTTTTTTGGTAACGAAAATGAATCATAAAGTTATTAGTAAAAAATGTTTTTACAAAAATTATAATTAAAAAAGTCACAAACCATAAACAGTGTATATGAAATTTATTTTATATTTTCTTTTGTTGTTTTCTTTATTCCTTTTTTTTTTCATGTTAGTGTGAATTAACGTTTGCTAATAAAGTTTATTAAGCTACCTAAGTTTAATTATCACGTTGAATAAAAAGCTGACGTGGTATGATTCTATTCTAGGGCTTATGATTGACTGACGTGGTGGGAAGGACTAAACAATAATTTCTCCATTTTTCTGAACGTTGTGGGTCCCACATTCAGCCACGTCACTGATCCCCAAGTTGTCTCTGTTGACTTGATCCGTCGAGCATTAAGCCTTCGTTCACTTTGTTCACATTTCCTTAGCGAATCTTCCTTCCTGTGTAAAGGTTAAACCAATGGATAGAGCTTGTCACGTGAAATTTTGGGTGTTTAAATGGGCCTGTCCGTTGTTTGGTACTTGTATTTCCAGCTTTCAACACCCCATTTCAGGTTTATTTAAACACAATATAAATTTTTTTCACTTGTCTTTTTTATCATTTTGATTTATTAAAATTAATGATTAAAAATATAAAAAATTTTATTTTACATTGATATAAATTAATTCTTCCTCTAATAAAAATATCTAAAGATGAGTAAGGAAGATGGTAAAGTGTCGAGAAAGTTACAAAGGAGAAAATGTTTAAGTCCTATGTATTTAGTTTTTTTTTTTATCTTATATATAAGATGAAAAATGATAATTTAATTGAAACAATTGATAGTTGATAATAAATTTATGTGAAATTCGATTAAAATTTATGTGAATAATTATAAAATATATTTAATAATTTCTTGTAAAATATATTTAATAAATTTAAATAAATTAAAAATTAAATGTTTAATTATGAAATGAAGTATCAACGAGACATTAATAAAAGTGTTAGGTGGACCTTTCATGACAAACTAATTTTAATATAAAGTGACATGTTAGTTAGACTTACACTAACTAAATGATAAAAAATAATAATTTTATTGATTAAATAAATAAACGTAATAATAAAAATTTAAAAAAAATTCTCAAGTTTTTTGATCCAGTGATTTAAGGTGTTTGATAGAGACATAGCGAATTTAGAATCGAGCTCTCCTTCTTCTCCGTTATATCATGTGGATAAAAAAAAAAATTAAGAATATACATACATATATTTATATTTATATATAGGTAGGTAGAAGAAATTTTGTTGGTCAAGCTCCTTTCCGGGATAAATGGAAATAGACTTACTTTAACAATTTAATTATGTACCCACTATAAACAAAATGGCATTATTTAATTTATGCCTTGTACAAAATCTTTCATCTTTGGCCTGTATATCTTACCTGCTTCTCATTATTAGAAGAATCATTGTTTCAATCATCTGCTGTGGTTCCACCCTCGTTTTCAGCTAATAATTAACGGGGAAAAGAAATATAAAATACAACGAAACAGTAAATTTCATTTGCATGTATTTTCTTTCTTACTCGATTAATATTTTATTTAAATGTATAATGACAGAGATTTTTATCACATCAAAATTATTGTTTTGATACTAATTTAGATAGGAATTTGTTGGCCAGTCAATTTTTTTTTTTTTTGCTGGATTTATGTATGACATTGGAATTCGATCGCAGCTACCAAAATCACAAGGTGAACACTCCATCTGCCAGAGGATTTTTCGTAGGCCCCTTGAGAAAATTTTGGGTTTTTTTTGTACTCTTTTTATGACTACTTGAGATTAATTAGAAGTCAAAATCAATTACAAAATCAATACAAAATTTAATTATAATCTTTTAGATTGTATCAAATTAAGTTCGAATTTAATTAATCATAACCAAGATTTAGTCTAATATATTGATAAACTAGCTTTTTTTACTGTGTCATGCATGAAATTTTTTATTATATTTTTTTATAATTTTAAATTTTAATTTATATTAATTTTTAGGTTTAAATTAAGATAAAATTTATATATTTTGAAAAAATTTGATAAAAGTAAATTTTTAAAAATTGAATAATTAATTAAATCAAATTATTTAGAATTATTTTACGTGTCAATAATATAAGTTGTTCACCTAAATGTTAATGTAAATAAATATTATCAAGTTTTTATGTATATTATAATATAATATTATATATGGTATGATATAATATATTTTTAATTTTTTTTAAATGAGATTATTTTTAAGTTTTTGGCCTATTTTCATTGATTAATAAACTTTTTTTTGTGATTAAACAATTTTTTGTTAAATAAACATAAAAATTTCATAAATCATTTTTTTAAATCAATTTTTATTGAATAAAAGAAATTTAATATTTTATTATTTTCAAAAAATTATAATCTTATTATTTTTTATACTTAATCTTATTATTTAAACAATGATATCATATATAAGGATATTAATAATATATTAGTCATTACATGTTATTCAGGTTTAATTCGAATAAAACTTGAATTCGATTTAATTATTATCCAGTCGAGCGCGAACTTAAGTAACTTAACTTATTGATCAAGTTGAATTTGAATATTTTTATATTTGATTTAAGTAATTCACAAGTTTAAGAGAATTTTTATATTTTAATTATTTTAATTAATAAAATATATGAACCTCAAACTTAAATTTGATTATATATAATTAAAATTTTATTAAATATAATAATCGAATTTAATCACATGAGCTTGATAGTTTAATTTATATTTTGAATAAAATTAAAATTAAAAAATAAAATTTGATCAAATTTAAATTAAATTTTAAATCTCAAATCTCAAATCGAACTTGAATTTTTATTATATTAACTTGAATTCAATTAATTACATATCCAGTCGAATATCAACTAAACGGCCTAAATATTCGATAAAAGCTCTTGTTATGTTAGTCTTAGCTGGCATTTGTGGTAGTAAGAAACAATAAAATATACAGTTAAGGGCATATGTGACATAACGATTAATTTTTGGCCAGTCAAACAGAAAACCAGAAAAAGGAGAGGCTAAATCAAAATTAAAATAGACATAGAGGACGTAAATGAAAAATCGTGAAAAAATCATTATCCTCATCATTATTAACTTTTTGGGACTTAAATCTCTTTTACCCCCACGCCCCCACGCTCTCGGCCACTCACCCCCAGTTTTCGCTCCTCTCTTTCTCTCTCTCTCTCTCTCCTCAGCTGCTTGTTTCTCTTTCTCTCTCTTGCGTAATCGAAGCAAATAAATGAATCAGAATTAAATAAGCTTGTTTCGAGTCCGACACCCGTAGTCGGTTGAGAGAGAAAGGCATTTTTTTTTTCCCATTTCCATAACGAAAAAAAGAAAAAGCCAAAAAAAAAAAAAAACCAAATCCTCTCTCTCTTTTCGCTCTCAAAGCTTTCCTTTTCAGACACACACTTTACGGAAAGAGCGCCGCAAACCGCCGCTGTAGCCGTCAGATTCCGGTGAATCTCCGCCCACATTTCACGTGATGCCAGATTCTGATCACCAGGTCATTCTCTCTCTCCCTCTGTAAACTAATATCTGCCTCTTACCCTCACGGAAAACGGCACCGTTTCTGCGCATGTCAGTTTTTAGGGAGAGCTAAGGAGCACTTGTCAGTTTCACTGTTTTCCGGCATTCTTCTTCCGATCTCTTTTTTTTTTGTTCTATGCTTTTTTATCATTTTCAAAGAAATGTAACTGTAAAATGAAATCTAATTCTCTTTCTGTAGATTTGCTGTGCTTTACTTTGCTGTAATTTCAGCTTTTTTAGAAGCTTTTTAAAAATATATATTCTTCCTTTTTTATTCGACTTATTCTAGTTTTTGAATCTTAAAGCTTATTCTCTTTACTTAATAATAATAATAATAATAATAATAATTTTCTTTCTTGTTTTATAATCTTTTTTCTCATTTTCCAATGAATGCAGTTGATTTCTTACTTTGATCATTGTCAAATTAGGATAGAAATTTGATTTTTTTTTAAAAAAGGAATACTTTGCAGTTTTTGTTCAGAGCTTATAGCGACGAGTGATGCGATGAAACGTGTGAGAAAAAAGAGAATATTTTCTGAAATTTTCACTTTTCAAGAATATTATACTTGTCTTTTTTTATATTCTCTCACATTCATCATATATCCCTTCAAAATCAAGTTCCTTTTTCTTCTTTGCTTATCAACACTCCCTGTATTTGCCTTTTTTTTTTTTCTTTGGGGGGGGGGGGGGGGGGGGGCGCTGGGCTTTAATTTTAATCAGTTTTCTCGTATGGAATTCGGACCTGGAATTTGATTGGTAAATTAAATAGCATGTTTGACTTGTAGAAGTTTCATTATTTTGAGTTATTATTATTATTATTGTTGTTGTATTTGTTTCCTTTGAAGTTTATTCTGTTAAATGCACACTCATTTAACTAATTTTGTAGCTTTAATTTGATATTTTTCCTTTTTCCTTAGTTGATTTTAGTTTTCTTTTTTCTTTTTGTATTTTTAACGGGAAAAACCTTGGAAATAAATTTGGTTTTTTTATTTGTGTGTCTAACAGGTCTTGAAATGAGTGGGATTCAGAACAAGAAAGGTCAGAATATTGAGAAATTTCCAGGTTGCTTGGGTAGAATGGTAAACCTGTTTGATTTGAACTCAGGTGTTCCTGGAAACTGCCTGCTTACTGATAAGCCACATGGTGATCTCCCTTTCGTGAAAAAGCTAGTTTTACTTTTCATCTACTTTGAAGTTTGAACATGTTATCTGGATATTGGGATGATTTGGTGAAAGTTGTTTTCTCAATCGTGTGTTCACTAGATCAATTATGGCATGGTTCCCATGATCAGCACTTGTTTCAGTGTTTCAATTCAATTCAATGCATTTGCATTTCTTTTTATCCCTTGTTAATTGTACCAATTTGAGAAGTATGTAAAATATCATTTGGGAAAGTGAACTGCTGCAAACACCTTGATATTGTCTTACAAAATTTTGAAAGTTTTAAAAATGGTTTAAGATCATGGAATTTTACTCTGATTCTGGAGGTCTTTTTTTCTAGTTCCTGTTGATTGCCTTAAGTATACTACTGATGCTTTCCTTTTCATCATCTTTCTACATTTCTGGTGTTAGCTCACTGACAGTTTTAAGTTGTATAATTTTTTCCCCATAAAATCACTTTGATATTCAACTTTATACGTGAACCTAGTGTTGCTTATTGGTATTTTTGGTTGTTTATGCTTCAATTATATATTTATCTTGCTATTGTTTTCTTGGTTTTGGTTGATGGGCAGGTTCCTCACTCTCAAGGAGTCAATCCAATGTGTTAAGGATGTTGAGCCCAACCTTTGGAGATCAGATAGAGGATAAAGCTGTAAATACTGTGCATTCAATCTCTGAAATAGTAATTATTATAAACAAGTTGGAAACAGATTCTGAGCATAACTTGTCTCTATACCTTCCGCTTGAATTATAATTAAATGTCCTTGTGTCCTGACCTATGTTGCAATTTTTGGTGCGTGCAGATTGTATCTGAGTTAAGGAGAACTTTGTCAAACAAGAGAGGTAATGGAACACCCATGAAGATGCTCATAGCCCAGGAAATGTCAAAAGAAGTGGAGTCTAAGCAGAACCCACCCAATGTGGTTGCTAAGCTGATGGGACTTGATGCACTACCAAGGCAGCAGCCTAATTTAGCTGCACAAAGATGCCATTCTAAAGGTTCGTCTCAGCATTCCTTGAGACATTCTGATATACCAGTGGAAGGCTGGGACCGAGATCAAGGCTTTTCAGACAAGCAAATGCAATGTGAAGTAAATCCCTGTCAAGAGCTGAACAACTACAAAGATGTTTATGAAATCTGGCAACATTCCCCAAGGACAACTTATTCAAGAGACAGCTCTCCACAAAATGGGATGTATAACAATAATGTGAATGAGAAAAAAATGGCACTAGTTCGTCAGAAGTTTAGGGAAGCAAAACATCTGGTGACAGATGAAAATCTTCGCCAGACCAAGGAATTTCAAGATGCACTGGAAGTTTTGAGTTCCAATGGAGAGTTACTCCTCAAGTTTTTGGAAGAGCCAAATTCCACACTCCCTCAGCATCTCTACAATTTCCAGTCTTTATCTCTACCTCCTGAGACAAAGCGTATCACTGTTCTTAGACCTTCTAAGATGGTTGACAAAGAAAAATTTGCTGGAATAGGGAAGAAGGGTGATAAGCAGACAAAGAAAGCAGCACAGATTGGTCAAGTAACTTGGCGGGATAGAAAAAACACTGCATGTTCTCCTGCTTCCCCCAGTCTGAAAGTTGATGAATATCTTTCCCAACCAACTAGAATAGTGGTATTGAAGCCCAGCCTTGGGAAGACTCAGGACATTAAGATGGTTGCATCTCCATCTCCCTCATCACCTAGGATATTACATGGTGAAAATTTTTATGAGGAACCTGAAGATGATGGTGCTCAAGAATCAAGAGAAGCGGCAAAGGAAATCACTAGGCAGATGCGTGAAAATCTGATGCACATGAGGGATGAAGCATTACTTTCTCCTGTGTTCTCCAATGGTTACATTGGTGATGATAGTTCATTTAATAGATCTGAAAATGAGTATGTGTTGGAAAACCTCAGTGATTCAGAAGTCATGTCACCAACTTCTAGACATTCATGGGATTTCAGCAATAGGCTTGGAAGCCCTTATTCTTCCTCTTCCTTCAGTCGTGCATCATGTTCTCCTGAGTCCTCAGTTTGCAGGGAAGCAAGGAAGCGGCTTTCGGAAAGATGGGCCATGATGACATCAAATGGGAGTTCTCAAGAACAAAGACATGTTAGGAGAAGCTCAAGCACATTGGGTGAGATGCTTGCTCTTTCTGATACAAAGAAGTTGTTGAGATCTGAAGAAGAGGGAAGTAATAAGGAACACGAACCTAGGGGATCAACTTCCTGCATAGCTAGTAATTTGAATGAAGAAGAAATTACAAGTGATTCTCCCAAGAATCTTCTCAGGTCAAAATCTGTCCCTGTGTCTTCCACTGTGTATGGTTCAAGGCTTAATTTTGAAGTTTCATATTCTGAAGCTTGCAAAGAACAAATTCCCAAGGAACTGACAAAGGCAAAGAGCATGAAATCATCCTTAAAGGGGAAAGTTTCAAGTTTATTTTTCTCAAAGAATAAGAAAACAAATAAAGAAAAATATAGTGGATCTCAATCTACAGATGAATCTCCATCTGCAACTCCTGGAACGGGGTCACCCATCATTCATACTCAAAAGATTAGCAATGATGCATCTCACTGTGATAATGAAATTGGCATCCAAGAGTGTTTGTCCCCTGTGCCATATGGATCAGCAAGTAAAACTCCTTCACCAGATTTGACTGGCAGGGGACAGAAACAAGGCATGATTTCTGTGGAGGTACTTCAAGCTTAGTTTCATGGCCATACATATGTTTATTGAATGTTTACATCTTGTTTTATACACATATGTACATACATCATACATACATACCTATATCAACCTGCTCTAGTTTTTCTGCACTGCTTTGAGATTTAACTGATATCATGGTCAGATGGAAAATTGGAATATGTTGCCTCCCATTTGTTTAATCTAGGAAAGAGGTAGGTAGCACATGAACTTCTAATGTTCTTTTCTCATTATCTGAAGTTGTGGGAATGCTGAATGTGAATGGGTATAATTCCGCTAGTAGGGTTAGAATATATTTTGCTTGTACAAGGCAAGGGTACCCAGAGTTGTGTGAATGTATAATTCCTGTAATAGGGTTAGAATACATTTTGCCAATACTATGGGTTTAGGGTGGTGCTCTATCAATTCTAAGCAATTTTGATTGTTAAATAATGTCTTCATCTGCTTGAACAAAAACGAACATCTTTTATGACTGAGAGACCTAATTGAGGGTTCATCTTATATTTAAGAGTGTTATTATATTTTCTATTCGTTAATTGTTCTTGGCTATGACAAATATTATACTCTTAGTCAACTTGTCAGCACCCAATTTCATGAGCTGATAATGGCCATGAAATGAAGATTCTGTGAATTGAACTTGTTATCAGATGTTTTGTCTTCTAAATTTATATGAGTTAATCGTTTATCAATATTGTGCTTACCTTTTGTAGGGAGGGTTGTCTGTAGCAAAACCTTCAATGCCTTTCCGTATAAGTGAGAATCAGGACCAGCCAAGCCCTATCTCTGTTTTAGAACCTCCATTTGAGGAGGATGAGAAATCAATTCTAGAGTATTCTGGCAGTATCAAACCAGTGCACCGAGGTAAATTTCTCTTATTAAACTGGGAAATTTGTTATTTGTCTGATTCTTATTTTCTCTTATCCTCATCTACTGTCCCCTTCATTAAAACAGGACTGAAGGTGCCACCTAAGTCTAACTTGATTGATAAGTCACCACCTATAGAATCAATTGCTCGCATCGTCTCATGGGATGATTCTTGTTCAGGGACAGCCACATTATATCCATCAAAACTCTCTTTGGTTTCTCCAGGTGCCAAGGAAGAACAGGATTGGATTTTCTCTGTCCAATCATTATTATCAGCCGCTGGTGTCAATGGCGAGGTGCAGTATGAGTCCTTTATTGCCAGATGGCATTCGCCTGAAAGCCCATTGGATCCATCCTTGAGAGACAAATATGCCAACTTGAATGACAAGGAGCCTCTGCATGAGGCTAAGCGACGACAATGGAGATCAAACAAGATGCTTGTGTTCGACTGTGTCAATGCAGCATTACTGGAAATCACAGGTTATGGGTCAGATAGTTGCATGAGAGCAATGTCATTTGGCAGGGGCCAGCAGGTGGTCATGGAGGGTGCATCGATCATCCTGGTTGACCATGTGTGGGCCCAAATGAAGGAATGGTTTTCCAGTGAGGTGAAGTGTTCCGTGGGTGATGATGGGGACAGCAACAGCCTGGATGTGGAAAGGGTGGTGCAGAAAGAAGTGGTGGGTAAAGAATGGGTTGATCATATGAAGTTGGAAATAGATAACTTAGGAAGAGAGATAGAAGGGAAGTTGCTACATGAGCTTGTGGAAGAGGCAGTGGTCGATTTGACCGGTAGGGTGTTTTGAGGTTTTTTTTGGGTTCTCCTCTTTTTCTATTGATCGTAACTTTATTGCTTGTGAAATTGTGCATTTGATGCTGCACGAATGTTTATATATTAATGTGATAAGTTGTTTAAAAATTTTCATTTTGTGATGAGATGTGTATACATATAGTAAATATTTCCACCATCCATCCGGCATTGTATAATTGACCATAATTCTTCTTTCAGGTCCCTCACCCGTGCAGGCTGCATGTATATGTGTTTTCCATCTTATTTTTTAACTTTAGTTGCGTGGACGAGAAAACTACTCTGTTGATGTCAATTGAACAATTACTATTTTTTTTTTTTGGTCTCATCGAGGGAAAGGCAGCCTGTTTGTTTGGTTTGTTTGTACCTGCGAAAGGTAGAAAGTTGACCGACAGTGACACAACTACTGATGCTGAGTCAGAGAAGAAGAGTAACCTACGGAAATGGCGATTTATTATTGGGGTATCCTTTGTGATATTTTAATATTATTTAACAATACATCCTCTAATTTTACAAAGAAAATACTATGACGTCGGCTTCAGGTTGTCTGTATTGTTGAAGTAGTAAATTAGGCCACCAAGCATTGGTTATTATTTCTCATGCTTCTGTTTTAGTTGATATTTTATTTTTTAAAAAAATGTGAAAAGTAAAATATAAAAAAAAAATAATTGAAAATAAAAAATAAATAACATTTAAACCTTTTTTCTAATCCAAAAAATATATTTAACCCTTTTTTAGTACCAAATTCAAGGCGTTTAAATACCATTAATAAAATGATGCGATCTTTTACATAAAGGCTTGATATATGGTGTCAAATTGTGGTCTTAATTTGATTTTGAGGTTTTTGGACTTAAATTTTATCATAGAAATTAGAGGAGGATGTCACTAGTAAGAAATCAGTTTCTTATGATAGATCACGTACGTCCAATGTTGAGCTGGATTTGATAGGGATGTTTCACTGCTTTCAATCCTGTCTTGTCGAGTAAATCCTAAATTACCAGTTCATCGTTTCCACAAATTTAATCAGAAAATTTTATAACGAGATGAAATTTTGATCCTAATAATATCATCTTTCAACTATTGTCATCATCAATGAGACATGGGTTATTGTCTGGCGATTATGAATTCAGCCGTTAAAAAAAAATTTGCTCTTTTTGTTCGACCCTTTTTATTCACATGTTGTTCTGACTTCTGACGAATCAATCTTTCCCTCTGCTGGTCTTAACCAGCTGTTTCAGACTTTCATCCCTACTAGTCAAAATTGGTTGGATGATGATAATCTTCATTGTTGATTGATTCTTTGAAGGTTTTTTTTTTTTTTTTGGAGTGATTAGTAATTTGGCAATGTTCAAATTCTATCCGTACGTACCACTTTTTCAGAATATGATCAGGTTTCTTGTATATTATGTTGGTCTTTTCTCTCTCTCTCTCTCATTCTCGTCGACGTGTGTGAAAGTGAAACGACCAGGGATGATAATTTTTTTTTGGAATAATTACACGTGTTTCATAACCAAAATTGTTAAAAAATCAAAACTTTTTCATATACTGTCTTATTCAATCAAATAAATATAATGATAAGATAGTTTAATAATAAATTAAGAATTTACAAAGAAAATCTTAAAAAAAAACCCAACCATTAAATTACATTTGATGAAAATGGTGTCTTCATACACCTTTCCTAACTCATCTTTCTGCACATGAAGTGGCCATGCCAGAAAACAAATTGGGTCAACACAATAATGTCTTCCAATATTCTTTGAAAAGCTTAATGAGCCCTTGATAGTTGACAAGCTTTCTCCAAGGTAAATTTTATTTGGGGAAAAAGCATTTAGGAAATAGATTATAACAAAGCAATGTATTTCTTAAATTATAAAGAGAAAACATTTTAATCTAAAGCAATCCTAAATTTTTTTCGGATGATGATTGTTCAAAGCCTAGGCTACCATTACCATATTTTCACAAGTTTCTACTCAACAAGAGTTTGGGTTGGCTGGCCCATTTCTGCCAACTAACGATGACAATCACAGTGACTACTACTACTACTAGTAGAGGTTAGATAAAGCATTTATTGATGCAATGTTGACTTGATAGATTGGATGCTCTCCTCTAAATATAAAAACAAAAGTATGAGAATAAATCAGCCATGTAACACCAATTTTTGTAGTTTTTGCTATTATAGTTGTGCCTAGGAATTTGGTTAAACTCCTGGAAATATATTGAGTTACAAGAGAGTATAGTGCTTCGTCCTTTGAAATGGTGAAAAATAGGAACAGTTGATGTAATAAGGAAAACAAGAATAATTCTTATTCATCTCTAAAAGCATTAGTGGAAAACAAAACTAGGTGGGTAAAACCGTAAAAGGTGGAACATGTGACAGAAACAGCTAAGAGAGCATAAATAAATAAATTCAGAGTGACAGTGCAAATATTATCCTGTAAATTAAAGCACCGCTCAAATGAAATCTCGTGACTTGTATGTTATCTGACTTAATAATCTAAAGAAGCATTAATAAATAAATTCAGTACATCCATGCTGAGATGGCAGTAAGAGAGTTGACTTCGTCAAAATTATTTGGATTTTTACATTCAAGAAAGTGTAAAGAAAGAAAAAAATAAATTTTGAGTTCAATTAATTAATGTAATTATTTATTTTTTAAAAAATAAAAAAGTTAATTAAAATTTAATTAATACATATCACTATTTATTTTTAAAAAATAGAATTCAAGAGATTAATTTTTTTTTATTTTCGTCCTTTTATGCCAAGAGAGGAGAGAGAAAAGTTGGGCTCCTTAATTTGAAATTATTTAACTTCCCTAACCATGTGCTCAGCTTTTGCATGAGAATGCTATTTTGCCACGAGAGAATTAATTTATATAAATTCATATAAGGAATATAAGATATGTGACATATAAAATATAATAAAATAAAATGATACTATAAATAAAATTAGATTAAATAATATTACTTTATTTTATATTTTATGTATGCAAAAATTAAAATAAAATATTTATTTATTCATCAAAATTATCATTCTTTAAAATTATACAATTTAAATTATTGATATTATTTTTAAGAGAATGAAAGACATTAATTTAATCTTATAAATTAAAAATAATTATTTTCACTTTGAGAGAATTAAATCATCTTATATCAAAATGATTAATTCTTTTTGTAATCATATCTCTTTTTTTATATAAAACAAATATAATATAAGAATAAAATAATTATCATTTTATCTCATTCATCATCTTATATATCAAACATGACCATAATACACAAAACATTTGACTAATAACAAATAAAGTCTTCTAAACCATCTTAGATTAACTATTATCCATGGCTTTAAATCAACAAAGAAAGGATTAAATAAGGATTTCACAAATTTTCAGAATTTCTTATTTTAACTTGGAGTAGAAAAAAAAAATTCTCATAGGGCTATTCCAATGACTGGGGGAACAAACGCGAATATTGCTGCAGCCAGCAGGGCAGAAACATGCAGGTGCACAGCACATATCTAAGCTCATCTCGTAAGATTTTTCCCTAGAACTTCATGTGTAATTTCCTATTACTACCATCTAAACCAAAACCATTGGCTTGGTTATTAAATTATAACTGGCAAAATATATGCTGTCAAATGCTGTGCCGTGACCTTAAACTCCATAAAGAAAATACCTGTACAATCTGCAAATTGCTCAGGGACAAGGATGCAACTGGGCAAAGCATAACAAGGCAAGAAACCAGAACATAATCAATACTAGCATAGAGAATATAATAGATGTATATATGAGCAAATTGACCAAAGATTCCAACCATCATAAAATCATTTTAAATGAAGATGAGTATACAGTTTTAGACCAAACAACAAACTTCTCATTTATAAAGGATGTCAGTATCACCACAACATTCAATTAGGACAATCGTTGCCTAAATGCAATTACAAAGCAATACAGGAAAATGGGTTTGAAGACCTATATACATCAAACTTCGTCCACAAAAGCAAAGAATAAAAGGACTAGAGTGCAAAGATATGTACTTGATCAGTTGGAAATACAGTCTATGTCGCCACCTGTGAGATGGACCATTTTCTCTGATCATCGCTCTACTTGGACTTCACGCTAGCAGATGAGTTTTGGTTTGGTAAATTATGTTTATCAGTGCTGTTGTATCTATCCCCACTGTTCAGTCCGTACTGCAGTACAAGATTCAACGGCATGATTTAGGAAATAACAACTAATGTTATATGGAAATTATTGTAAAGGGAAAGATACGAGCAGAAATATAACTCACTATGAATGAAAAGAATATTTTAATCTTGTTTTGTTGACAAGAAATGGGTTGGAACAACAGAAATGCTCAGTATTCTAGTACATGAATATCTGTCTTTACAGTCTTAACAATTAAGAGTGCCCTGATTCTTGACAAAACCAAGCTCCAATTAGTTGTATCAATTAAGATGTGTTCAACAACAAAAACAGCAGTAATGAATATCAGGAAAACTGCTTTGCTACCTGAATCACCATTTTGTGTTACAAATCTTGCTCATCAACCAGAGGAATTTTAGTAAAACCCAAACTCTAAAAGATTAATTAAACAAAATAACTGGCAGGATCAGCCCCCCTTCCCCACCCCACAAAAACTCCAAAAAGGAGGAATCAATATAAAAGGGATGGGAATCATTGATAACTGTCACAACTGAATTAAAGACAGAGTATCACATAAAAGTAACAATAATAATAAAACAAAAGCTTGAAAGGCAACAAAATGAAAGTATTCAGCTGATCAGTCATTTGGACCTCTCAATAAGATCACCATTGTCCAAGCATATGTCAAAGATAATCATATTGACAGCTATGACCTGCATACATATTCAATTGTTTATTTTTGACTGAGATTTCAGACTGTGAGGTTGGGTCAAATGGCACTGAGTTGAATCATTAATTAGTTTCAGATTAGAACAATTTCTTCAATAGATCCATACAACCAAACCAAGCGCATGGTATGTAATAAGAGCCACTAGACTGAATTCTATTCAACGAACCATTTCCATAAATGCAATTATCGTTAAGTTAATGCTGCATATGATCAGTCACTTGTGAGTGTGGATCTCAATGAGGTCAATGTCATGGAGACTATCTGAAAGAAAATCATATGTACACTTGTGAACTGCATAAATATTCAACCATTGGTCATTTGTTACTGAGGTTCCAGATTGTGAAGCTTGATTAAATGGCAGTAGTGAGTTGGACCATTAATTTGTCATACTATCACCAAATACTTCATTAGATTCCCAACAACCATTTACATAGCATGGCTGTAATGGTATCCACTGTGCTATAAATACAACTTAAAGGAACCATTTCCACGGGCAGAGGTCGTCATTCAATCTAGAATTATATTTTCTTAGTGGATTTCACATCATATAGAATAAACTAATAAAAGAAAGAGTGAATTGTCCCATTTTTTTTCTGTTAAACATGAGTTGTAAGCATTTAAAAATCAGGACACCTTATCTCTTATTCGTGAGCCCCAGATGTCAGAGTGAGCTCCCCTGCCATCACCCTTGGCTGCAGTAGACTGAGGGTTTAGGAGTGGCTCCCAAGTTCTACCTCCAATATTGTCATAATCATCTTCATTGTCAATGTCTCTTCTTCTAGCAGAAACCATTGCCCGCAAAATTATTGCCACTAGCAAAGATAATGCCTGAAGGATTACGGGAATAAGTTTTAGAGTAAAGTAAGTAAGCAGATTTACTGGATGTTTGAAAAGAAAAAAGAACAAAAAAAAGAGATCTTGTCTACTGTTTTCTGAAAAAAAAACAAGATTATTTTCATCTAGCCATTGTATATATTTACCATGTATATTAACTAAAAAATCTAACCATATATTTTCAGCTCATAGCAGTTTGATTCATCTCTAACAGAAGAAAAGATTTATCTCAAGTGGACTTCTCCCAATATAAACTTCAAATAGAATTTGGTCCCCAAAAATGATGAAGACTCTTCTAAACATATATCCTTCTCCCCTAATAAAGTTTACTATTCACCCCAAAATGTGGCTCTATGCAAGAGTTCATAATTAGTTATGGATGTGATAGCAAAATGCTATGCTCTTAAGACAGCTATATGTAGATTATAAGATTTTGATCAAAATCTATTAGCAGAATGTTACTCTCTTAAGACATGTACATTCGTCATAATGTTCTTAATCTCTTTTCCACCAAAATGTTCCAGCAGCCTGATTTCCAATTTCAGCCTCAGTTTGATCATTAAACCAACTTTAATGGCTTCAAGAAACCTAGTTCCCTTTCCACACTGCTACAAACTCTCTATCTTTAATTTGATCCCACCTACCAGCCCATGTAAACTGGTTCTCTTAACCTTCCCTACATCCTAAAGAAGTACATAACACACCAGTGAGAATTTCAACAAAACCAAGACTAGGCTAGTTTAGTTCGCCTCCACCTACCCTGTATCCTGCAAAACAGTCCAGGTCATAAATTGGTAACTTGCACTAAGGATGGGTAGCAATTACTAACACACTGAAGATTTATAACGTCAACCAAATGCAATGCAGTACCCATTATTGTTAATCATTATCCATGACTCAGAAATCAATTCTGTTATTATTTTCCTATGTCATTGGAAACACACCAATTTTATGCATATGTTATACACTTATGATCTCCCTTCTAATAAACTATCACAAATCACATGCACTGATGCACAGGCAAACCAATCTTTCTTACCCATGGTCTAAGAGGGAGCAATATATTAACAGGAAGAAGAAGCTATGCATTTTGGAATTGCCCATAGAATTCCTTTCCCTCCTTGTAATTCAAATCTCTTGTAAATGAAATGAAAAAAAAAAATTGAACTTCAGTAGATCTTCATCTGATGAAGTACCACAGATCACAAAGTATGTGCTAATTTGTTACTGGATTTTTTTTTTTTTTACTTTTGTGCACAATAATTGCAATCAATTAATTTAGGAAGTTATAAAATGCTTGAAAACATGGGCTAAAATTACCTGAATTATGACCACACTGATGCCAACCCATTTACATATATCAATGTTTCCTTCGATGAAGGATCGAAGGCTATCAAGTTCTCCAGTTGGGTCATCTGGAAGATCCTGTCATAAAATACAGTATTTAGTAATAGATGATAATCTGCAGATGATCAAGCCATTGCATCTCATGACAAACACAGTGCACCAAGAAAAGGAATTTACCTTCTCCCAGTGACGATCAATTGCAATAAATGCCACCAAAGCAGCTTCTATTAAAAGTAGAACAATTTTGATAAGTGTATACTGGCAGTTTGATCAAGTTAAGGAAAAGCATGTAATAGAATGCAGTCCATTATATAATTGGCAGGATAGCGATAACTTCAACACTTTTAATGCTTGTTATAGAGTCTTACAAATCACCAAGTACTTAGTTTTAGAGAGACTTCGCAGCGAAAATATAGAAGATGAAATTCTGAAATTTGAGGTTAAAGTTTTGAACCTATTTTAAGCATTTTATCTTCTCCTGCTACCGCCACTTCTTGGTAGACAAAGCATAAGTTGATGAACTTAAAACTTCAACATATAGAAAACCATTGTCAGAATTTTGCAATTTTCATCAAAAAATCAGGCTAGTCTCTATTGTTGAGATGTTCAGAATCGCTGCAGCTAAATCTCTGAGCCAATTTCATTTGAAAAGAATATATAGACTCATTTAGGTAGGATACAAAACAAAGGCAGCAGCCATTAATAGATTCAGCTGCTACGCAACCAATAACAGTAATGCAACATAGCACAATGCCCACTCCCATAAAAGAGTAGATGAACCTGCAACAAAGAAGAAAATCATCAACTCAGCACTCAAGTGAGCATTTACAATCCCAAACATTCGACCAGAGTCACCACCAAAGCAAACATTGAATCGCCAATCATAAGAAAATAACGAATTGAAAGAGACACAACCAAGGTCTTAATTGTAATAGCAATGAAATAGAGCATCCAATGCAATAGTCAAAAAAAAAAAAAACTTTACTCTTTATGCTTGTTCAAAAATTAAAAAAAAACTTATACATTAAATATATTTGGTCCTAAAGGTTAGACTTTGAAGTTTGTTTAGTTTCGTGATAAATTCGATATTTTAAAACTATTGACAAAATTTTTTTTTGGAGAAAAAACTATTGACTAAATATTAAAAGTTAAAAGTGAGAAGCAAAAGACAAAATTAGCATTGAGTTAACAATTCTAATACACAGCATGATTTTGTCGCACAGTTTAACAAACTTCACCTTAGCAAAGTGTTTCCTGAATAATATACAATAAAAAGCATATCTAAGCACAACTCATTAGATAAAATGATCAAAGATTTAAGGTACATAAATCTCAAAGTGACCTTATTTTCTAATGCGATAACCTGTCCTATAAAAAACCCCTTCCCAAACATTTAAAGCTTCGTCCTTTCAAATTTGATGTAGCATTTAATGCTGTCCACTTGAAAATCCCTTAAAAACAATCAATTATAAAACATTAAAAAAGCCTAAATAGAGAAAGTACCAGGAAGCAGGTAGCTTAACAGAGCTCAAGTCTAACCGGACCCCGTTATCCAACCCGGAGACCAAACCGACGGCGAAATCATCGAAAACCCTAGCTGCTTGAGCTCCAACCTCCGGTCTCGAATTGAAGAGAACCGGAAGAGATGACTCCGGCGACGGAGCTAAAGGCGGCGGAGAAATTGGGACGTGATGGTTCCATTGATCCAACATCCATATCGAATAGAGTATGATCGATAATCCAACGAAAGCTTGGAGAAAATTCAAGAACTTCAGAACAAAAGCAAACGAAACATGGCAGCAATTAGGCCTCATTCCCTAAGATTTTAATCGATTTTTATTTCCCTTTTTGTTTAAAAAACCCTAATTTTGATGATGATATTGGGAGAGGGATGAGAACGAAGCTGCGTTTTTGGATTTAATTATTTTGGCTTTTTTTCCTTAAAAGTTTTCTGTTTTTTTTCTGCTTTTCTGCTTTTCTGCTTTTCTTTTTCTTTTCTTTTTTTTTATTCTATTACTTTTGCGTGAGGAGAGAACGAACTTGAGTTTGAGAGGAGACGAAACGGTTACTGTTAACGGCTAGTAGTTTGGATACGTTGGGCTTGTACTGGTCCAGTTTTGGCTAAAATATGGCCCATTGGGCTGAGTTCATTAAACAAGTCCAGATAAAAGGCGTGGAAGACTGGAAGTAGTCAAATGATATCTGGTATAAGTGATTTTCTTTCGATCTTCCTTTTTTTATATAATATTTTTAGTTTATTGGTTACATAGGATGAATTATTAGAAATTTATCATATTGTAAAGGTAAAAATATTATCATTTAAAATAAAATAAAATTTTTTAAAATAATTACTTAAATTTGTCATATGACAATTTCTTTATAATTAAATAGCGATTTTTAATCTTAATTTATCATGAAACATAGAGTTAAAAGATTAATGCTCAAACTTCAAAATCCAACTCCACTATTTGCACCAAGGATGAGACCTTATTGGTATTAAGGTTAAGAAATCAAATACAAGTCATGTACATGAAGTTGATATTTTAAGAATCGAAAATCACAAATTAAATACAGTAAACTATTAGATTCCTATAGTACTTAATGATTTTAAAAAAATTCTATGGAGTCCTTAGGCACCAACACTGGTGTGTGAGGTTTGTTTAATTGGGCTTCGTTGCCTTCAATTCCCTGAGAAGAAAATTGTATTGTACTTTCAAAGGAGACATGAAGAGAAAGGAGGAAGAGATTCAACCTCAGTGATCTTCAGGTTCAGGACTGTGATATCCTATTCAAGGCCTGACGAACACATGAGGCAGGCAAACATGTTGGTGAGGTCATAAATTTTATTTTCATATTGTTATAACATTTATCCAATACATAGTTTATATGCTAAAAATGCTGTGCATTTAATTAAGCTATGAACGAGTAGAATCCACTAACATTGACGGTCTACCAGCTTTCCAAGGTGCTAGATTTTTTGTCCATATAGAAGGTGAAACACAAATAATGTGGCTTGCTATGGCCACTATAGTTGTTGAATGAGGCAAGATTTTCAATGGTACTACCATGGAGCATTGATGGCCAAACTGTTCTTGTTATGTTGTGCTTTTTCCCTTTTTTTTTTTTTTTTGTTGAAAACCAACTCCAAGAGTGGGAATGTATTACAGGACATCAAGTCCAATGCTAAAAGCCTACACCCAAGGCTACATGACCGGCGTCGGATTAAAGCCTTTCATCAAATTACTACAAATTGAATTAAATTTTATCCAGGGCTCTTCTCACCGAATAAATTTGACCAACATGGAAAGAAGAAACAGAATTTGAGGCGGAATTAAAGACATTATTGGTAGCTATTATATTAACACTATTGCGGGTACTTGAGCTGACGTTCTGCTGTATTGAAAGTCAAAAACTCTGACAATACCTTGCGTTTTCATTAAAAAGGACCCGACTCTTAGTATGGTGTCTTGCAGAAACAAGAGATTGAAGAAAAAAGACGAAAGGGAAGCATATGTGAGTGTGATTATCTGTTAGGAAATAAAAGTTCCCAATCAATTGAATATTTACTACAGTAAAAATAAAATAAATTAATCAATTAATTATATAAAAAAATAATAATTTAACATAATTTGATTCAATCAACTTACATCTATTAATAAAAATAATTTATTAATTAAAAATAATTACAAATATACATTAAATCAATACTCATAATTCATATTCATAAATTCTCTTAATATTTTATTATTTTATAGAATATTCTCAATCTAAATAAATATATATTCATATGCATCTATGTATTATATTTATGTAAATCATCACAGTTTTATCATATAAATATATACGTTAATCTTCAGTAATTCTATAAGATGTTTATTTAATAAAACTCTTAACTCTCTTACATTTTTTCTTATACTTAAATTATTTATAAGCATATAAATTTTTCTATCAAAAATTTGTTTACTCTTAAAATTTTTCTTTTATAAATCTTTTTATTCATCAACTAATATTTAAAATTTTAAATAAATCTCTTATAGGATTTAAGTCCCTGTTTCAAATTAAGAAAAGCTGTAAGATTATGAAACCTTAAAACAGCACAAGAAATCGTACAATGCAAACCTTTGATCAAAGTCAAGCATCCTGTGCTTGAAATATGCAATCCCTAATTGTAAGAAAGTAGAACACAGGCGAATTGCATTTGATCAGCTGCAGTTTCTTCCAACATTAAGGTATTAGAACACATTGTCCTTTGAGTGCTCTTTAAATGTGCTCATTGTCATCTTAAACAAAATACAGATAAACAACGCAAGCTTCATATTCAAAGTCTTTAATAGGATACTAAGATGAATACTGAGATTTTCTGAAGTCGAATATACTGATATGGTCTTCTTCAAGGTAGTTTACCACATTAATATGAATTATCAATGTTGAATAGTGAGGCTCTTCAAATACCAATTTATTGACTACACAGAAGGTAGGATATTGTAATAACTGCCAACTGCTAGTTTACTATGAATACATGGTTGAAAACAGCTAATGAAGCCCTCAAAGAAAAAGCTTGCGAGCTGCAGTTAATGTGAATTGAAAGGCGAAGAAATCAGTCAATGGTTTGTCATTTAATCTGGGGCCCCCTTTTTCATAACACAGGAGTTATTTGTATTTTTCTGCTTCAGAGGAAAATTTCTTTCCTTTTAACCTATTTTTTTGTAATTTTCTTTCACTCATGTTATAGCCTTGACATGCCATTGTTAGATGGAATCTTTAACATGCATATTTGTCTGTTTTGTGAAAAAAAAAAAAAAGGCTATCAGTTTTGTCTTGCTACACCCAATAATGGATTTCTGTTTTTGATTTTATATACATTGTTTTCTTAGCTGGTTACATCCTCCAAAACTTGTGTAGAAGGTAAATGATTCAGTGAAATTATACCAGAATGCAGAAAGCTAATTGAAGTAAATAAAATTTTACTGATGCTAGTCTCGGAAGTGATTAGAATGGGGACTGAATCAACAATGGATAAACTCAATCTTCACCTCTTCTTTATGCTTTTGATGTAAAATTTAACACGACCATGTCTGTTTAGAATGTCTTTATATGAAGGGCAGACTTCAAGAATATGAGAGTAGCGCATAAACTAAAGACTGATGATTCTCCTTGTCAACTTGCTTGTAAGGCAAGATCCCTCTCGGCTTCAAATGGACCTCAACCTCGCAGCATTTCCATTTATTTTCAAAACCTTCTACACTTCTTCCAAACCCATCTGCCACAGCATACATTCATGCAAGTGAAAAAGTCTTTCATCATTAAGGTTTTTGAACTAAAGGAAAGTCACACCAGCCCCACAACACATTAAAACAAGAGGACAAAGCCAAATGCACAACCTAAACCCTGTATAAAACCATCCTCACCCCCTCATTCAAACTCATAAACCTTTGGAAAAGAAGAAGAGACGCTCAAGAGCGCCAATCTTTGTCTCCAATGTCAAGCTCTTGGTTTGTTTTTACCACCATAATTTTTCCCCTGGTAGCCGTGATGGCGGCTATAGTCTCACCCCAAGTTGAGGCTCGTGCTTTCTTTGTTTTTGGTGACTCGCTTGTTGACAGTGGCAACAATAACTACTTAGCCACTACTGCTCGTGCTGACTCTCCACCATATGGCGTCGATTATCCAACCCACAGACCAACAGGCCGCTTCTCTAATGGCTTAAACCTCCCTGACATTATCAGTAAGGGTTTACATTTTACTTTTCGTTTGATAGTTTTTATATGTTTGTGAAGTTGCTTGAATTTCCTTTGTATTGACACTTAAAAATGTGTTTAGGTGAGCGAATTGGCTCGGAGTCTACATTGCCGTACTTGAACCCTGACCTCAGAGGGCAAAAACTACTAGTTGGTGCCAACTTTGCTTCAGCTGGGATTGGTATCCTCAATGACACAGGAATTCAATTTGTAAGACCAAACAACATAATGCAATACTTTTTGCCTCGTTTCATTAGATTTCTTACACCAGCTTTCAATAGATAAAATGCAGCTCAAAGATGAACGGATGGCGCTTTAGCTTGTGAAATGCAGCTACATATTTCCTCTAAAGCAGCCCCTTTTGATTATGAAAGATAAAACTACTCCTCTAACAACGTTCTGCTCTTCCAATGAAAGGATTACTATATAATTCTAAACTGAAGCTTCAATAATGAATGACTTCTCAGTCTTGCCCTTTCTTTTTTCAGGCCAACATAATAAGGATCTTCAGGCAATTTGAGTACTTTCAAGATTATCAGAGGAGAATTACTGAGATTGTTGGAAAAGAACAGGCACAGCGGCTAGTAAACCAAGCACTGGTTCTTATAACACTTGGTGGCAATGACTTTGTTAACAACTATTTCTTGGTACCTTTTTCAGCAAGATCACGCCAATTCTCTCTGCCAGATTACTGCCGCTATCTCATTTCTGAATACCGGAAAATCCTCCTGGTAAATAATTTATCATTAATTCTCCTGCATCTTTTCTTAATTACAAGGGTCCATTTCTGTGTAAAAACAGCCTAATGTTCAATTGCCTTTGAAGTTTGAACACCTCATCAAAAAAGTTGTTCCAAATTATTAATAATTTTTAACTGTTCACATTGTGATATATTACAGAGGTTATATGAATTAGGAGGCCGAAGGGTCCTGGTGACAGGGACAGGACCATTGGGTTGCGTGCCTTCCGAGTTAGCTATGAGGAGCAGGAACGGGGAATGTGTGCCAGAGATCCAACAAGCTGCAGCAATATTCAATCCACTGCTTGTCCAATTAATTCAACAACTCAACTCTCAGCTTGGTTCCACCGTTTTCATTGCTGCTAATGCTTTTTCAACGAACATGGACTTCATCAGCAACCCTCAAAGATTTGGTTTGTTCTTCAAACAATCTCTTATATAAATCAACCCACCTATTAACAAATACTAAATCCTAACGGATTAATGGACTTAATAGAAAACATATGTGCACTCACTTGTATACAGGTTTTGTCACATCAAAGGTAGCATGCTGTGGGCAAGGACCCTACAATGGACTAGGATTATGCACCAGATTGTCAAATTTGTGCCCCAACCGCAACATCTACGCCTTCTGGGATGGTTTCCACCCAAGTGAGAGGGCAAATCGACTGATAGTTCAGCAGTTCATGATAGGATCTACCAAGTATATGAATCCGATGAACCTAAGCACCATCATGGAAATGGATTCAAGGACCTGATGATCTAAGAACTAAGATAGTACCTTCTAAATGTTTTATGCTATATTTTCCTCCAAATTCGACACTATAATATTTCTCTGTGTTTTGCCAAGAGCTAGCGCAATTGTAAGGTTGACTGCACTACCTATTTCTAGGTGTGCAGCCAACTAGTAGTAATAGATTGCCAATATATATTAATTAAGCTTTATTATTTTCTTTTGTGCAACTTTTGACTACTAAAAATCTAGGCCATTCTACCACCAAAAAAATCTTGGTCATTCGTTCACCCCCCAAAAAACAAAAATCAGACAAATGCATTTCACTCCACGGTTACTGATTGAATCTCAAATCTTCTTTTTTAAAGAATTTACACTACTAAGTTGCGTTAGAATTCAAAGGAGAGCAGGCAAATAATCTATATATATATATATATATATATATATTGATATTAATATTTTAATCCAATTGACTATTCAAATATAAACCAACACTTGTAAAAAAATCTACCTATTAAACTATTGGATTAATCAATTATTAAAACTAAACTTTTATTAACTTTTAGTTATCAAAATTATATAATAAGTTACCACATTCTATTAAAAGTTATCAAAGTTATTAAAATTTTGTCAAAGATATCAAAATTATAGAAATGTTTACTAAAATTATATCATAAATTATTAAAATAATATTAATAGTTACCAAAATTGAATCATAAATTATCAAACTTTTATCAAAAGTATCAAATTTCTAATAAAAATTATCAAATTATATCAAAGTTTAACAAAATTGAAATTGTATGCAATGTTACCAAAATTATATCAATAATTATTAAAATTATGTTAAAGGTTATTAAAATCATATCAAACTATAAGTTTTATCAAATATTACTCAAAATGTATCAACGGGAGTCCATATTGAATTAAAAGTTATCAAAATAGTATAAAAAAGTACAAAAATTACATTAATAATTATCATAATTTTATAAAAAAATTATTAAAATTAAAATTATATCAAAACTTACAAAATTTAACCAAAATTGTATAAACGGATAAAAATTTTATTAAATGTCATCAAATTTCTAACAAAATTATTAAATTATATCAAATATTATTAAAATCAAATTTATATAAAAATTTACTAAAATTATAAACAAAAATTATCAAATTATATTAAAAATAATTAAAATTTAAAATTATATAAAAATATTGAAATTATATCAAAATAATCTATATTAACGACACTGAAATGATTAATTTGTAAATTATTAGGGGTGGATCCGAAACATGATAAGATCAAAGTGGAAGCAGACAAAAATTTTAGAAATCATTTTCTTCAGTTATGTGCAAAAGGGGATTTTGGGTTGGCTTTGTAAAGAAGTTAAGACTTTTTGCCAATCAAATCATACCCAGGTTTGAAACTAACTCCTTTCTAAAACTCCCTTACTACGATTAGTATGATGAATCGAATGACCCCTGAACAAACAATTTGTTATTAATTCATGGTAAAACTTATTATTTGGGTGTTAAATTTCAAAAGCTATTTCCATCACACTTATCATGTAAGATTCTTTTTATTAAATCTGATGATTTATGTATTCATGTAGTACAAATGACTGAAATTTATATATTTATATTATATTTTATATATAAATTATATATTAAAATTCGTGTAAATATAAAAATATAAAATAATTTTTTTTATTTTATTAAATTTATATATAATTATTATTATAATTTTAAATTATGTCATTTTTATATTTTATTTATTATCATACTCATATTATATTATTATATCATATTTTAAATTATTTAATATTTTTACTTTTCAATCCCTAAAAAAGCTTGAAATTGGTTTAGGAAAGGGTGCATAAAACCCCAATATATATATATATATATATATATTTTTTCTTCTTTATTATTATTAAAATACACTATTATATTAAAATCTATTTATCGTTAATTTTTGTTAACTCAAATTAAAAATAAATTGAACAAAATCTTTTCATCAGTTTAAACTTCCTTAACTCAAACAAAAAATGAATTGGGTTTTAGTTTGAATAATGCATACCAAATCGAGTTGTAAGTTTAATTTTATCTGAAATAAAAAATCATAAGCTTAATAAGATTTTAGTTTTTTAATTAGATTATGTTCATTGTTGGTTAGGTAAGTTTCAGAACACAATAATAGAACTATAGGTCATGTAATGCTTTCAAGTGAAAGCAAATGAAGATTTTAGCATTTTCCAAATGATTAGTTTATATGAACATAGTAGCAAAATATCCTCTCATTTGTGTTTCTCAAGCAAGAGGTGAAAAAAATTATGGGTTTTTATCATACTTCCATTTAATGATATAAATATAATATATTTAAGTCATGATGACTGTAAATACTATTAATTAAACACTTGAAATTTTTCCTTTTGTTATATACAATTTTTCGTAATAACTTTTGATTTCTTTTTAAGATAATGAAAATTACTAATAAAGTTTAATACTCCAAAATATTATTTGTCTTTAATTATTTCCAAAGAAAAATGACCTAAAAAAAAAAAAAGAAAAGCATTAGTAATTTTTTCCCATCAAGTTCATGATTATTGAATATACAAAAAAAAAAAAATCATTCAAGACTAGAATTAAGTAGCAATAGGATTATGCGATAAGAGAAAGGGGAGTAGTTAAATTTCTGATATCATGGCCTTGCATTAAGTTTAAGGGAAAGGTAACTTAAAGTTTCATACAACTTGACTTAGTATTCTTAATCTTCAAACCAATTAAACTTCGATCAAAATTAGGTATGAAGTATGTATGGATAAAACCAATTTGTTTTACATTATTATTATTATTATATGATTTTTGAATATTTTATAGACAATATTTATGAAAAAAAAAATTCATTCATACATGCATTTGTATATTTTTGGCATTCTACAAATAAAAATTCAAAAAGGTTCTGGGTATTGTCATGCAAAATATATATATATATATAAAGAAAATTTAATTAATGGTGAATAGTGTTCAATATTGTCTAATTCATGATATAAACTTTTCACCCATAAATTAGTATTATCTATATCTATCCTTACTTTTGATATTCTTTACCTTCTTTATTTTAATTTATTCTTAATTTTATTTATTTAAAAAATATTACACGTTTGAATTTTTTAAAATCCGTAATTATTGGGTGCCTGCGTAACGAATATGATGCCATGTGAGATGAGTTGGCTATTTTTCACCAATCCTAAAAAAATCCGATCAACATTGTCAATACATAAACCGTACGTGTCAACAGAGTAAAATAGAGTGCACGGTGCAGTCACAGACAAAAATCACAGTAGCAAAACTCATAAATTAACCCAAACGGTTGGGTAATTTCCTTAACCACTCTATCCAACAACACTTTCATCATCTTCTCCGTTAATCTCAGTACACTTCACTGACTCTTCCCCTTCCTCCCCCTTTCTTCTCCTTTCCTCCGCAAAGGAAAAATAAAAAAATAAAAAATTAAGTGGCACTTCACCGCCAAATCTCTCTTCTCCAACAACAACTATTTTTCTTCCCTTTCTTTTAATCTCTCTCCTCTCTCGCCAAACACATTTTAAAATTTTGATTTTAATATTTAATTTTTCAATTTTAAAAAAAATTCCAATTATTGGAATTGGTTGAGGAATTGTTTAGATCTGAGTACGGTCGCACCGAATCCGGATTCAGATGGAGGAGGCACTGGAGCTGGCACGTGCTAAAGACACCAAGGAGCGAATGGCTGCGGTGGAACGGCTCTACCAACTTCTCGAAGGTTCTAGAAAGAGTCTCACTTCTTCGGAAGTTACTTCGCTCGTCGACTGCTGCTTGGATCTCCTCAAGGACAACAACTTCAGAGTCTCCCAGGGCGCTCTCCAGGCCCTTGCTTCCGCCGCCGTCCTCTCCGGTGATCACTTGAAGTTGCACTTCAACGCTCTTGTTCCCGCGGTTGTTGAACGGTTAGGTGATGCCAAGCAACCCGTTAGGGACGCCGCCAGACGCCTACTGCTCACTCTCATGGAGGTGAAGTTCTTATTTATTTCTTTTTATGTTATTGAATGTCTACGCTCTTATAATTCCTTTTCTTTCTTAACACTGCTGAAAGCACTATCATAAAAATTTGTGTCCACTGATTTTTGTTGATTTTTGAATGGAAAAGGTGTGATGTAGCATCGGATTTTGGGTTTTACATAGATTTAGCAGGATCAAAGACATTGATAGTTCCGTGTAGTTGGATAAAACTGACTGCTCTAATGGTTTAGTAATGTGCCGAGAAATCTAATTTCTTAGAACGAGATTGTTCTTGAAAGGCTACCTATAAGACTTTAGTCAGTGTGTTTTATGGAGGTTTATTATTTCAGATTGTTCTATTGATCATGGAGATACGGAAAACGGTGTTTCTTAGCTTTGGATGAATCAAGGGTTTCCTAATTGTTTTACTTCAATTAATTCGGGATCATTTATTGTCATTGGAATTTCTGGGAAAATGGAATCCTAATTCCTTCCTTATTTTGTTGCCTTTTAAAGTTATCTGAGTTTGCAGAAGATATTCTTGAAAAGTGGTACTCAAGAATGGCTACTAGTGAATGCTTTTGCACAATTGAATAGTTACCATCCTTAATTACCTCTGGATGGCTTTCACGTTTCTTGTGGAACCAGTCATTCCATTTAGCATTTGGTTAATATTAAACAAGCAAGTTCATGAACTATGGTTCCTCATGTAATGACCTTGTACCTACCATGGACCCCATGTGTTCTAGAAAAGCAGATACATGATACTCTCCTATTCTCAAAGTCTAGATTTTCATTTTTGGTGTGGTTCAAAAAGTCTGCTGTTAAAAACTGAAGCATTAGTGTTTAAGATTTTCTTTTCTGTTTATCACTCTAAATCAAGTCATAAATACCTGCATTGTGCATAGTGGTTACGGGCAATTTAGGAAGAAAATGTGGAATGTATAAGTTGTCAAAAAGCATTTATTGACTTTTCTTGGATCCCATTTGGTTGTTGTTTTTGTTACTTGCTTTTTGCTTCCTAGAAGGTTGCTATAAAGGAAGAGCAAATGGTAGAAGCAAAATCATAATTGATTAAAAATGAACAAAATGACTGAAATCCATCTTTGACTCAAACTT